AATTGTGCTCGGTCAGCAGTTCACCTGAACCTCCCCCATTAACCTTCATAAACCAGACACCTACACTAGATCCTCCCCTAATCAATTCTGTTACAACATCGAATGCCAAGCCACTGACCGTTGAATCCTCAGAAGGCGTTCCAGGCAGGCTTTTTCTCTTCTTGCTTTTCCCTGGAGAATTCTCTTCCTGGGACCTCTCCATCCTTTTCTGGGTGGTTCTTCCTGCACCGCTAGGCAGAGATGAAGAGCCAAACAACCGGCATCGTTTAGCCTACGAGGAAGGAGAGAAGTTAAGAGTTGCCCAGCAAAGATTTAGATTAAAAATTAAGCAAGCCTCAGACTTTCAGATTATTACAAGTTTTGCCTCATATAAGACACTGCCACTGCTCAGCAAGAGCAGGATGTTAGTAGGGTCATCTAAATTCAGAACCTACATTTCCAGTGACACTTGTTTCTTGCTGCGTGGACTGGGTGAGTTAGGAGCACCATCAGCAATAAGATGTGCTAGCAGAGTGCTTTATACCAATTAGCGGCCAATTTATCAGCAGATTAAGGAGCTTTTTGCTGGAGTCTAAACTCCCTTCGCAGTCTATTATCAGAAGATCGGGCTACAGGCATTCCAGGTGAGCCTGTGCAGAATGTATTCAAGATATGTCAACAAGTATCTGATAAGGAAAGTCAAGATCTTCTTGCATTTATGAAGTGTTTTTGTAAAAAGAGAGTTAGTGCCTACATCAGCACACAGCGAGCATTGTTCCACGCTGACAAAGTCTTCCAGGTAAACAGGGTCTGGAGATAACAGAATGCTGAGGGGGGGGGGTTATGCCATATCTTGGTTTGTTGTTATTAGGGATACAGGATCAGAGTGCCATCCCTTGTCCCAGTAGTGAGAACAGCTGCCGGAACAACGTCTCTGTTCTGTTGTGCTCTGCCAGAACACTTACCCGATTGTCCGTTTTCCTCATGACTAGCGGTGCAGTCCAGAGGCTCGCTACATCAGATGGCATCTCCTCATCGTTCTGAGGAAAAAAAAAAGAAAGTTCATTCTCATCTATTTCACCGTGGGCAGAGACTGTAAACATCTACAGCTTCTGCAAGGCTCAGGCAAACATTCCAGTTGAATTCAGCTATCAGAGCAGTTTCAGGAATTTAACTCAATCACTAGTCCAATACTCAATGAAATAATCAATCAATGAATTGGTTCTGTTAACAATGACGTTCCTCCAAAGCTATAAGCATTTCAAATTCAGTTGGAAACAGTCTTCTATAAAAGTGGCTTGAAAACAAGTATCACCTTTAGCTCTTTTGGCAAGTTTCTAGAGAAAAACACCAACTGTTCCAATAATTGTCTCTAGTCATGCAGTTCCCATCTGCCAATAGGAACAGCAGCAATTCTCAGAGTAACTACGGTTCACACCCCAAGTAAATCCCATTGTCTGCACTAGGAAATAGCGCAGAGAAGATGGAGACACTGAAACATAAGAGTTGAAAGAGATGACGATAACTCATCTCCCAGCATTCTCTAGTACTGAGCTTTTTGCACGTTGACTCACCACAGACTTCTGCTAGAACATACGTGCACCACGGACACATATCATGGGCAGACTATTAACACTAGTGCTGGTTTTGAAACGTCTGTCATATTTCCTTCATACCTACCTTCAAGTCTTGCTCATCTAGCAGCTCTAGGAATCCATCATCATCTTCGCTTTCAGTGGAAGTCAGAGAAGACTGCTGCAGGAAAGCTGGCCTGTAGTTCTCCTGTTCACCCGTGGGAAACTGAGACAAGACAGTTAGTTCTAACAACCTTCCGTCGCTTCACTGCGGGATGCTGTAACCAGAGATGAGGTCACGCCTCTTACCGCACCACAGGAAACGTGGCGGTTATGCCACCACCTTGAATACACTGACCTGAGCAAACCCCAAAGTGGGTTCCAATACTTCTATTTGATCCCCACGACAGGGGATTGCTTCATTAGCCTCGTTAAACAATAACCCTATTCTCTGGAAGAGGCTAGCCAGTGAAGGAGCAAAGGAGAGAAACGGGTGGTGCCAATAGGAAAGAGAACAATAAACTCTGCAGGTGCTGAGCACGAGATCAGCAGTGCTAAGCAGGATGAACATTGCCAGATTGAAGGAGTGGAAACAAGACTGAGCCCCCCAGCTCTGTTTCTCTGCAAGGACCCCCCATGGTTTTTCAGTTGCTTTTTCTAAGCAATAGAATACAAATAAGGTAATATTTTCTTCCTGGATGTAAAAGCTGGGTGTAAGATCCAGTTGCATCTACACAGTTGGCTTCTTTGTTCCAAACGCACCTGCCTCAATATAAGTATCTACTTGATTGAGACTGAAAACAATTTCCAACTGGCTTCCTCTATTCCACATTGATGTCCACACTCCCTCGACTTACTGCAGCATAATCTCAGCCCTGTAGTGACTAATCTTTCACAGACTACAGAACAATCCACGTTTCAAACTTCTGACCATCTCATGAGCCAAGCGTGAGGACAGTTTTCTTATCCAGCAGATAGAGAAGTTTTCCCATCTGGCACATGAATAGTGGTGATTAACAGCATTGTCTTAGGACCACGATGCAATTTTTCTTCCTCCCAGACAGTAGCTATGCAGAGGATTAGATGAGAATTAGTTGCGAAGAACACTGTAGTACTTACTGTCTGAGCTGGAGATGAATGCTGCCTCGGTCCAGGAACACCTTTTCCATCACGGGAATGGACGTGCACAGAACTACGAGAAGCTGGTTTGGTTGGCTTCTTGAACTCAAACGATTCCTGAATTAGAAAGGAGCAAAGCAATCATTTTACCAAAATTCAACACAGCGTAAGTTCCTAGGATCATTTTATCTTTTTAGTTTTGTTAAAACTACCTGGTGTTTTGGATTTAAGTTCCCTGCTGCCACCAGGAATAGTCTGAAGGCAAATGCTTTCAAATTGAAGATGTTACAATAGTGATTCATTTAACATAATCAAGTTTTTATCCTCTTGATATAACCTACAGGCTTAAGGCTTTTCTATTCTTTTTGCCAGTCAACTTCTCTGCAAAAGAAATCATTTTTAAAGGTAGCCAAGGCTGTCACATCCACTATTGAAGGGGTGTGCTCATTCAGCTTCCTCGGTACTGCCTCTTACCCGGTATCATCGCAGGCAGCAGAAAGCAACACTTACATTCTCCTTATTTTCATCTTGTTCCAAGAGTTGAAAAGCATCACTGTCCAGAGAATCGGAATGGTTTCTCTTCAGAGCAGGACTGCATCCCAGGAGGCTTTGCTACAACGTTCACACAGAGGTAACAGTTCGTATTGTGCAATACAGTCTTTGCACGACTACATTTTTGGCAAAAGAAGGGTTAATAAAGACTGGAAGGTCTTTAACTACAAGTGCCTGCAAACTATGTGCAGGAGTCGTTTATGCTGACCCACAGGTACCTAAATGCTCCAAATGCCTTTGTGACAAAGCCACATCACTGAAATTTCACACCAACTTCAATGAGATTTGGCATTTACAAGCTGTAATTTTGACAGTTTTCATTAAGTGTCATAGCAGCTGTGGTTGAAGCCAGAAAATTAACAAGTTATGGAATGTATCCAACTAAAAACACTTAAATCCTTTTAACTTTTATACAAGACCGACACCACCCTCACTTACTGGCAGTGAATGTATTCTTCTGAAAGGCATCCGAATGCTACAACGAAAGAGAACCAAAATTTATTTCAACATTTTGTTTTAAAAGACAGTAATAGGAGTAAAACTCACTTTCTTTCCCCTCCCCCAATAAAACTCCGTAAGCTACAACAGTCACTGACTAAGAAGTTAAAACAAAATTATACTTACTTCAGTCTGCTAGATTCAAGAATTGCTTTCTCGAACCTAAAAGCAAGCAACATGCCCCACAGTTAGCACCAAAGGATACTACACGACAAATCAACCCTGTGTGTAAGTCATGGAGTGTTATGCTAAGCAGAAGCCAACGTGCTTATTGATGACACTGCCTTTCTCAAAAGCTATTTATAGCCAGCTTATCCCATCCCAGATTTTGAAACACTAGCTAGGCTCCTTCTCACCCTCCTTTCCCCAAGTTCTTTTCAGCATTGTTTAGGCAACAAGCCAGGTTGAAGAAGAAAAGCTCAGTAAACCAGGGACCAAGGGCATCCCCCCCCCAGCCCTGAGGACAGAAGGCTAGGAAAAAAAGTCTAATTCAGAGTGGCAAATTTGAAGCTCGGAGTAAACTGCTTAGTATCAGTTAAGGCATGTACAAGCAGATACAGACTCATTAGTCTACACTTGTTAATGGTGCAACGTAAAATGCCAGAAGTCAGGTTAGCACACGGTTACATACGTTTCCTCCATGATATCGTTTGAGGTTGCAGGACCGGGCGAATCCAAAGCACAACCTGTAGAGGAGAGACAGTGTTTTCTACCAGGGAAGGTCTAAGAAACAGCAAGTATTGGCCACTACTACAGATTTCCTCAGAGACCCCGAGCTCAGGTGGGAAACTAATGCAGAAAGTCCCATCTGCAGCCTCACCTCGGCGTAGAAGTAAATAATACTTACAGATACTCCATACTGTTGGTTTTGGCCATGGATAATGCAGTGTTAGTGCTTGAGGAAAAACAAGTAATTAGCCCTGCCCAAAATGTCACACAGCACCGAGCGCTACCACATAACATGGAGCGCTCCTGGTCTATTCTCTCACACACCTCTTCATAAAACAAAACCCCTCAGTTCCTTTAGGGTTTTTTAAGCCATGTTTTTAGTTACACCTCTTCACATGAAGAAATTTTGGGCTCATTTAAGAAAAAAAAAAAGTAGTCAAAAGGCCCTTCTTAATGCATGCTAGTGTACTGAAATAACAGCAAGCACTCCATAAGCACAAACCAAGTGAAACATTACAGCTACATAGCATTTAAATACAGTCAAATATGAAGCTTACTTAAACGCAGATTCCCTGAGGAATTGTTGTATTACGGTGGTATTCACAAGCCCTAGTGACAGGCCAACAGCTCACCGGAACACACTCTATACCATCATGACAAGACCTGTTGCTACTTCAGTGACTGTGACCTAAAACAACTACAGAGAATTAACTGGACTAACATGACAGGTAGTGGTCTTGGCACAGCAGAAACCTTAATACAAGAAGAAAGCGGAGGTTTAGCAAGCTTGGTTATTCTATCCCACTCTGTGGTTTGCAAGCTATACTTGTGTTTTAGCAGTTCATAAAGTGCCTCTGAAGGCTGAAAGTACCGTGCACAGTCAGACCGATGCATAAATTCAGAGGGAGACACCGATTTCCATCACTGGGCTGGACCAATGGAGTATCAGAAGCTTCCCTGATTATACCAGTCACAGGATAATAGCTTATTTCATTTTCACTGATAAAACATCTCATCTAAAAAAAAAAAAACCCAAAAAAAACCACCCCACTTCTGGGCAAGTATCAGTACTAAGATGGAGTTCCCTGGGTTTCAGATAAACAATCAGCTCGCGTTAAGAAAAAGCCACAGAAAAACCCCAAGCCACAAGGCAAACCCTGCTCAACAGCCTTGATTTGAGCGTGCAGAGCAGGTTAGCACAGTCTGGGTTTAAAGAGAGAAGCCACATGGCAACAACTTGCTTTCATCAAAGTTATCACCCTCCAGAGGGTAGAAACTCAAATCGGTCCCATCAGAGCTGAATGCAGATATGCCACAGACCCTAACAATGAAGAACGAAACACTATCTCCCCATTTTCCAGCCCACAGCCCCAACACACAACTATAAACACTCCCAAGCCAATATCTGCAGGCCACCACAGACCAGAGAATGGTGGGAATCCAATCCACCGGTGAAGCCTATCTTGGGCTATCTTTAGCAGCCTTCATCCTCAGCCATCTCTACTGCAGGAAAGGCTGACGCACTCATGATAAGGTGTTGACCCACTACCACGTACCGAACAGAACATCAAGGCAATCTGAAAACGGTACTGATAAACCTCATGCTGGAGTACAAAGCATGGCAGGTCAGCAACCACGTCTAACAGCCATCCTAAGCAAAAAGCCAGCAGAGCCCCACGGTGGGAGCAGAACCCATTTTTTCCTCCATGCTAGCTCTACTCCTAACATACTCCAGAACAATTAAAGCAAAAAAAACCCCACCCACAACCCAATCCATGAACTGCAGAAGCTCGCCGAGCTTCCCTGCCTCCCTCCTCTCAAGACCCTAAGGACGAGAAGCGGCTGCAGGGATTGCAGGCAGGCAGCATTAGTTCTCTATCCAAATCCTGGAAGCTGCTTGCAGTGGAAGCCCTGTAAAGGTACGATGCGCCTTTCATTCCTTACTCGTTATTTACTAATTGAGAAAGCCGTACCTGAGTCTGTTGATTCTGATGACACTGTTCTTTGTAAGCCATTAGTATTCTTGTTTCCCAGATCTTGCTCAGCGTTTTCATGCTGACTGTAAAGGAAGTTACGTACTTGTTTTAAATGCTTGTTAAAGTGAGAAATACAATATAGGAGTGCCTGAACATAGATAGACGGTACAGATAATCTTAACCCGCAACCTATATCGTTAGCCAAGCGAAAGGATCCCAGGTTGGCAACCCTGCAGACTGCAGTCTCTGTGCGCAGTTGACTACACAGACAATGCCACCACCAGATCACCACGCTTGACAAATATGCCCAGACCTAACACCTACAGGGACTTAAGGTTTTGGTTTTGTTTTTTGAAACCTGCACGTGCAGTGCTGATGATATTAGAAGTTAGGCTTAAGCCAGAGACAGGCAGAGCATGATTGCAATCATTCTGATAGCCTTTCTGGTCACCTCGCACCAAACCACCAACCTTTTCTCCGTGGCATACTAACCGTGAGGGGTGTTTTTTGAAATTATGTTTTAGACCCTGTCCTGAGCTTGTCCTAATACAACAAAGCGACAGACCTTGCAATAAAATTTTAGGTCTAAATCAATTTAAGCGTGCAATAGGTTATTGGTGCCTGGAATCACATTAGCACCCCCAAACCATTCTCTAGAAACACCTCTATCAGAGCCCCATTATCCTTCTCGGGACTGCAACCCTCTCTTCAGCAGCCACTCCTTTAATTATCATTTTGCATAGAAAAATTACCAAACTTCTAACTCAAACGCTTTTTTTTTTTTATATAAGTAGTTAGCTCAAATTTTGTCATATCAACTAAGAAAGTTGTTCTCTGCTCACGTAACCGTCAGACCAGTCTAAATCATTCTGTGGGTGAAGGGGCTCGAGGCATCCAGAGCAATGCCAGTCGCTCTGCGAGCGGGCAGGGAGCCTGGAGGCAAGCTCTCCTGCCCAACTGCTGAGCCACATCGGACACACATTCGTTTCATAGGTGGGCAGGGGTCGCAGCAGCTTCCATACAGAGAGATATGCGTATCATCTGTAGCCTTACTCTATGTTACCTTAAATAAGGGAAAAGCTACGTGAGTGCGGCTCCTCCATCATGAGTTAATTAAAAAAAAAAATGCACCAGGGTGCAAGCTGCGGCTACAAACTTGAAGGACAGAATAATGAACATGGGAGGAACTGGTGCAAATCGTTTACAAGAATTCCAGGAATCTGAAGGAGGGAAGGATCATAAAGAAAGCAGGTGATTACAGAAGTGAGAATGATATAAAAACAGCAAACAAAGGACAAATACCAGGAGAGCCATCAAGACCAGAGAGTAAGCCAGGGCAAAACAGGAGCCATGTAAGGGACAAACTGTGGACGTTACTGTACAAATAACAAGATGGAGTTAGACTGGTAACAGCAAAATTGGGTTCAGCAACTATGTGGCCAGAGTTATGGGGAGAGAGGAGCAGCAGGGCCCAAAGACGGCAGCATTTTCCATACGTGAAACAGCAAAGAGAGGAGGAGCGTGCAGGAACTGAGCGAGGGTGCGCATGGAGAACAAGGAGCTAAGATGATGCAGCTAATGTGGGACGGAAGGCAGGAAGGACGGACACAAAGGTACCAGCATTCGTTTGGGGGAGAGGGGAAAGCACCCAGTCCTGGGGCCAGGCACAGGGAAGGGCTCAGGAGGTGATGCCCGAGCAGAACCGGGGAAAGATGGTGGCACGTGGTGGGACACCGCCGGGGGAAGATGGCCCACGGCTCAGGGACCACCATCACACGTGGGCAGGGGAGC